AAACAAACGCCGACTACACGATCGTCCGAGTTAAGCACAAAACCGCGAAAACCGCATCCGCCGTAAACCGCGAGCTGCTCCGGTCGAACTAGCTCGCCGTATGGCGAGCAAAGTGGCCTCGAGCTAGCTCGAGGTTCTAGCGAGCTGGGGGGCTAAATTTTGGTTTCAAAATCGGTCACGACAAAATCAATGGCTAAAAATTTCCGTAAAAATAAAAATACGTTTTATAAAACTCAATAAGTCATTTTATAAAACTCGATAAGTCGTTTTATAGAACTCAAGATACGACGGCGTTTTGACGATTTACTCGCAGAAAGAAGATAAATGTCAAATTTGAAGATAAATGTCAAGTTTGAGGATAAATAAAAGATTTCCGCGGGAAAAAAAAGAAAGATCGAGATAAATGGAAGCTTCTCGATAAACTCGAATCTGGGCGAAATGAAGGACTAAACCGCCAAGGAAGGGAATATATAAGCAAGAGGCATAGGACAGAAGCAAGGGACGAATTTCAGAGCTCTCATCTGAGACTTTTACAACTTTTCTAGACTTAGAAATTTCCGCACTTAGAAACTTAGGCGTTATTCTCGACAAGTTCGGTTTCTATGACTGGCGCTCAATTTCTAGATCGAACTCGCCCAGGCAGTTCGATCTCTTGTCCAGATCTACCAACTGAACTACGTTTGAATTGATCCTCGAAAGGGGTACGTAGGCAGGCTTTCGTAAGGTGCAATCCGAAATCAATCAAACTCTCTTTTTCTTATCTGTTTTTGTCTTTTGTTATCGAGCTGCGACTCGACTAGGTTTAGGATTTTATGTTGATAACTCGCTGATGGCCCCTGTGACCAAAGTCTTTGTAATCTTTTGTAAAGATCGCAACGCTCTTACGCGAATTCGAAATAAGATCAACTTTTTTTATAAATTCGTTTTTTCAAGTTTTTCATATTTCCGCATTTATTTGGTTACTTGTCGTTGGCTTCCGCAGAGATCCGGATACTCTGGAAAATTAGGGTTTTCTTATGTTTTCTTATTTTACGGAAATCGACGGTGTGAATTTTGGTTCCCACATATAATATGGATTTAATTTTGAACGGCATGACTATTTGAATATGCTAAGTTCATATATACAGTGAAACCTCTATAAATTAATAATGTTGAGAATACACCAAAACTAATTTTTTTATTAATTTATAGAGATTATTAATTTATCGAGATATTAATTGAACCAAAAATTCAATTTGGAACTATGAAAATATATTAATTTATAGAGATATTAATTTATAGATTATTAATTTAAAGCGGTTATACTGTATACCTAAAATTATGCTATAACTTTACTCAGTCATTTAATATTCAAAAGTAATTTTCTAAATAGTTTTACAACTATTGAATTAATATATATATTAAGAACTGATGAAAGTGACCAATTAAAAATGCACACTTTGGTCGATGTATTTATCTAAAGTTACAGTATTACTATATTTACCTTGTAGCTATCGTATCATTGGTAAGTATCAAGAGTTCACAAAATATAATCATGGTTGATAAGTACAAAGTATAAATGTTTTTGAAAATATATATATTGATTATGTGTATTTAATTTAAAGTTAGGTCCATGATGGATTAATATTAAGAGTTCACAGAAAAGATATTCATTGTTGGTACTTACAAAATATTTGTTTTACAAAAAAAAATACAAAATATTTATACCTTTGAAAGTATAACTAATAATCCTTTTATAGTGGCAGTCGTATGTTAGTTTAAGAGGAGAGTTTGGTTTAATTTTTTTACTTTATTTTATCGACCATTATATTATTCAAATTTGAGGTGGTTTGGTAACCAAGCCGGAATAAAACAACCAATAAAAATAACTCTGTATAAAAGGATCTAGCAGTGTTAGCTAAAAAGTTTGAAATCTGATCTTGTGCGCGTGGGACATGAAAGATCTTGAAATATGAGAAACATATTTGCTAGTCTCTATCCTCTCTAGTTCTGTTGCAAAGTTTGACCAAGTATAAGGCTCCTTAATCATGGCAATCAGCTCTTTACAATCCGTTCCAAAGTTCTGACATGTCGAGTGTTGTAGCATATTTTCCATCGCCTATCGCAGTGTTACTACTTCTGAATGCAGAGCTGATTCACATTGAATGGAATTTCTTGGCCCCAAAAGTTGAACCTTCCCAAAACTATCCATCCAAACCCATTCACTTCCACTGAACTGTGATGTGGATGTCCATGATCCATCTATCATGCATATATTACCCAAACTTATGTTTTAGGGTTCCTTGAAATTATGATTTTGTAGCGTTGGTGCCACTGTCTCGTTTGCATTAAACCATGCTTGGCATTCACTCTCAGCATAACAAATTGGCTCTAATGGATCTCTATTTATCCCTCTAAAAAGTTTGTTATTCCGGACCTTCCAAATATACTAGATTATCCAGAGCTGAGGATTTTTGTCTAATTCTGGTTCAACAATGATGTTCTTCCTCCAGAAGAGATAATCCATATTAGCGTAAATACTATGGACCGAGAAGATATTCTGACTTGTCAGTATTGCTGAAAGGGACCAGGTTGAAAAGCTGGCGGGCACTCGAAAATGGCGTGAGTGATAGATTCTTCTAGTTCTCTACATCTGGGAAATAGTTGTCGCACCTCATGTTACGTCGTACTAAGTTCCTCATTATTGCCACATGACATGTTATCAATTGTCACATAATATGTTATCAATTGTCATATAGGATGGCATATCTTTTTAGGCGGTTTTATCCTCCAAGCAAAGGTTTGAAGCTTAGTGATACTTGGCTCAAGCACTATTTTCTTACACTGTCTTTAATAAGTTTTGAGTTATCCAATATCCAGATTTAACCATGTACTGTCAATTCCTAGTATAACTCCAGTAAAATGTATCATGATAATGAGTTGAGTTTATGGCCAAATTTCTTAGGAGAGGTATATCATCCAGGTTAACATAATTCTCCAATAAACTAACATCTTATTCCTTTGAGGTCTGATTAATAAGGTTACTGACTCTCATATTCGGATGTAAAAATAGAGCTAAAGGGATCTAAAATTTCACCAAAAAATGTTATGTTCAAGAGAATATTTATGTTTCAATAAAAAGAATTATTTATTTGTGTTATAGTTCAAACATTTTTTGCACATAAATTTTTTGTATCAAAATTCAAAAGCTGACTAGGGTAGTTAAGTGGTAGAATTAATTTTTTGTATCAAAATGTTATGTTCAAGAGAATATTTATGTTTCAATAAAAAGAATTATTTATTTGTGTTATAGTTCAAACATTTTTTGCACATAAATTTTTTGTATCAAAATTCAAAATTCAAAAGATTTGAGAAACGATAAATTTTATGTATGATTCCACTTAATGCTCACGAAAGTAGGTTACATTATTCCTTGACATCTTCATAAATATGAGATCTTGTTTTCGGCCTATTTGAATATTTAAAAAGAATCTTTCATGGGCTGCACATTTACTTAGGATTAGCTCGAATTCTTCTTTAGATCCGTGATATCCCTAGTTAATAAAACCAAAATTCAAAAAATAATTCTAACTCTGTATGAAACTAACTAGGTGTTTTGCCCGCACATGCGGGCTTAATTATATTTAAGTTAATTTAAATAATTATTAAAATAAATGATTATTTGCATCCAAATAATTCGACCTAAACATTAAACTTTTTTACATTGATAAAGTTATTCACAAATTAAAAATAAATCTATGTTTTCCTTTAAAATTTTGAAAAATCTAAAGTCTATTTCATTTATTCGTAATTGATAAAAAAATATAGAAATCTATCTTTCAATTTGAAAAATTGAATCGATAAATATAAATTCAAAAATTGATCATACAGAAAGAATCAAATTAGTATGAATAATAATACAATATATTTGAATTTATTTTTGTCAAACACGTATTTTCTTTCTTTTTGAGTGATCTTTTATTTTATATGATTAATTCATGTTTAAGGTTTAACTATAAAATATAAACATAAATTTAATTTAACGTATAAGTTCAGAGGCAAAAAATAACTTCACGAATATATATCATTATATTATATTATTATATAATTTTAATTTGAAAATAATTACGTATTCTACTTTTTCAATTTCTCTTTTGAATTATATACAATTAAAAATTTTACTTTATGAATATTTATTTATGTGTTTTCTGTTTTTGAATTTTTTTATCAAAAATATATTTTGTGGATAACAACACAATATATATAAGAATTATCTTTTTTATTTAATTTTTAAATATATATTTAGATTATGGATAATTATTATCATTATTATTAATTTAAATCATTTATCTAATCAAATAAGTATTAATTCGTTTTTTTAGCTGATTTATATATTTTATTCATTAAGGGTATAAACGATATTAACCACTCCAACTTTTAACGTGAGAGCTCCGTTGCGAAAAATCACTTCGCAAATAATAGTATAGATTCGTTTTTATTTTTAGCTGATTTATATATTTTATTCATTAAGAGTATAAACGATATTAACCACTCCAACTTTTAACGTGAGAGCTCCGTTGCGAAAAATCACTTCGCGTATAATAGTATAGATATATACTTGTAAACGCTAGCCCTCATGGTTTTAGACCCGGACTTTCAATGGCTAGCAATAGAAAGCTTTTTTTTCTTTTTTGTTGTTGTTGTGTGCAACAGCAGTAGAAAGCTAATATTTTCATGTCACGGGATAAGGGCACGTTGTTACACTGTTCCTGAGTTGGTGAGTGAAATTTGCATAAATAATTACACGTTACAAAATTCATGAGTCTGCGTGAGTGCGATTACACTGGGACTCTTTTGTTGTTATCTAATAAAGTCTATCACGAATGTGAAGTGAAATCTCCATCTTTGACGTCTTTATTGAAGGACACAATTCGATTTTCTGTGACGATCATTACTATACGCAATCCTCAAAAGTTTTCATAAAAAAACAAATGTTACAACAAAAGAAGACAGGACCTTACCAGAAGTCATTACAGGAGCATTTTCCTCCTTTGAAATGATGATATCTAGTAGCATCTCGAACTATAATCTCTCTTTCTGTAATCTCACTTATATGTTTCATAACAACATGACAATCTCCACAAACCCTTAGGTTTTTAACAATCCGTATGGGACTGCCCGGAACACCCTTAAGTAAAGCGTAAGCAACAGCGGATCGCTCGCTATGCCAAAACAAAAGCTTTTCTTTCTCTTGCTCATCCATGTCGTGTAAGATCCAACTCGTATCAGGAACATAACCATTTCTTTTCCTCATATCTTCTTCCAACTTCTTAAGCAGTCTAAAGATCTCTGCTTTTAGAGGATGAGATGTTTCTCCAGCGTAAAACACTTCGGTTTCTTTCCTAACCTCTACGCTGCTGTACCCTGGATCTTTTCTAACTTCCATGTCTCCTAGTTTCCTTCTTGCCTCTGAAACTTTCCCCCACAAAGAAGCACTTGCGTAGACATTTGATAAAAGTATATAAGTCGATGGATCTTTCGGTTTAAAGCAACTTAAGAGATGATCAGCAATTCTTACACCCATCAGACTTTTCCCCTGTCGCTTAGAAGCGCTAAGCAAAGCAGCCCAAGTTGGTTCATCAGGAGGAAACGGCATTGTACGAATTAGCTTCTCAGCTTCATCAATGAGTCCAGACCGGCCAAGAAGATCCAATAAACATGTGTAATGCTGCAAGGACGGGCTAATTTCATAGTCCTTGCTCATTGATTGAAAAAGCTCACGGCCTTTAGCTACAAAACCGACATGACTACAGGCGTATATCAACCCGACAAACGTGACCTCATTAGGCTTCACACCGTGTGAAACCATATCATCATACAAAGACAATGCCTTCTCAGCCTGACCGTGCTGAGCCATTCCAACTATAAGCGATGTCCAAGAAACTACATCTCTGTGACGCATCCTACTGAAAATATCCTTTGCAGCTATAACATCACTGCATTTCGCGTACATGTCGATAAGCGCGTTACTAATAAACAAACAGGAATCAAATCCTAGAGATATAACCAAACCGTGAACCTGCCTCCCTGCAATCGAAGCAGCCATATTAGCACAAGCACCAACAATGCTGGAAAGAACTAAAGGATCCAAAATGTCAACACTTTCTCTCCTCATTTCAGTAAACACAGAGAAAGCCTCAAGCCCTTTACCACTCTGCACAAAACCAGAGATCAATGCAGTCCAAGAATACAAATTCTTGATTGGCATGTTCCTGAAAAGCTCCAAAGCTTCTTCCTTTCTTCCGCTTTTGGCGAACCCAGATACCAATGCGGTCCATGAGATGGTGCTTTTCACTCTTATAGAATCGAAAACCGCTTTAGCACTATGAGGTAAATCGCATTTCGAGTACATATCAACCAGTGAAGACTTAACAACATCATCAGGAGAATACTCAGAGACTATAAAATGACAGTGAACTTGCTTCCCGTGATTAACAGATGCTAAGTTCGCACAGGCCTTAACAAGCGCCGAGAGCACGAAATCATCCGGGCGCAACCCGCCGCTAGAAGAAAACATCGAGAGTGTCTTAGTAGAGAGATTTTCTTGGTTAAGAGCTGTGAGAACAGAGGCCCAAGCGATGTGGTCTCTGTGAGGCATTTCGTCGAACAGTTGGAGTGCATGAGAAGCGGTGCTGCATTTTCCGTAGGCGTTGACGAGAGTGTTGGCCAAAGGGAGACACTGGATGATCCCGAGCTTGATGATTTGGGCATGGAGGGATTTGGCAGTGGTTAGGGTTCGGTTCCTCGCGCAGAGCTTGAGCTGATGAAGATAGTGATGGAAAAGCATTCAACGGTTGTTGTCGCTTTCTGGTTTCGAGATGTCAAACCAAATAAAATGACCGTTTGATGGATCTTTATTACAGATATGATTAGAAATTAGGGTTAATTTGCTCAGTAGCCAAATTCTACATGAAAATTAAGCACATGTCACTGATTTTCACATTATTAACTCAATAACATTTAACTCATAATTGATCTAGTTATACCTTTCTTCTTTGTAAGTATCCGGTGACAAAAAGAAATAAGAGAAGACATCATTGTTTGAATATATTGACAAGAATGAAACACCATTATTTACTATAACATTACGTAATGACATCTAGTTGCACATATTAATCTCATACATATTCACTTTAAACATTAAATTAGATGGTGCCATCTCAGATGCAAAAAGACAAAAAAATTGCATTATTTGAACACATTGATTGTGCCTTAAATGAATTGGACTATGAAATTACATGATTTGAAAGTCATTGAGTATTCTATTCCATATCTCCAAATAGTATGGTACTCTAACCTTACTCAATCCATTAATACTCAACCCTAATCACTGATTAAATACTAAAATCCAAAAAATCATACTTACTAAACCTAAACTCTAATTACTGATTTATAAACCCAAATGAAACCTCTCTAGATAGAATCAATTTACTCCATTTTAGTTTTTATAATGTTTAAATATTAAAACACAAGAAAAATTTATAATTACTAAATCTAAACCCTAACATAATTCATATAAACCATCTATAAAGGCTTATAAACCATCTATAAACCTTTATCATTAAATCATAAACTCCATTATAAATTCTAAACCCAAATATAAATCCTCAACTCAAATATAATAGAACAAAATAAATAGCATACTACATATTGGTGAAATTATGAAATTTGGATGTGGTTAACGAAATTTGTGTGAATGAAAAACAGATTGTGTAATTCTAAATACTAAACCCTAAATCCCAATCACTAAACCCTAAGCCTAAGTATAGACCATAAAGCAAAATATTAAACTCTAAATCCTAATCACTAAACCCTAAACCCAAGTATAGAACATAAACCCAAATATAATAGAACAAAATACATAGTATAGTACATATTGGTGATCAAAATAGAACACTCTTTATTAATTGTCAAATGGAACAATACATGATCGGGTCACTAAACCCAAAACTCAACCCCTACTTTCCAAATATATACTAACCCTAAATCCTAATAACTAAACCCTAAACCCAAAGATAGACCATAAACCCAAATATAATGGCACAAAATACAAAGTATAGCACATATTGGTAAACAAAATATAACAATCTTTATTAATCGTCAAATCGAACGATACATGATAGGGTCACTAAACCCAAACCTCAACCCCCACTTTCCAAATAAATACTAAAACCTAATCCTAATCACTAAACCCTAAATCCAGTGATAGATCCTAAACCCAAATAGAATGGAACAAAATACAAAGTATAATACATGTTGGTGAACAAGAACATTCCTTATTAATCATCAAATAGAACAACACATGATAAACTAAGTATAGTAACAGACAATTTCACATTACATAACGTGAATATAACAAACATAATACATATTGTTTTACATTTTTATTCCATACTCATATAATACAATATAATACGATTTAACAAAAACTGTTCTTCTTCTTCTTTTTTTCCAGACATGGTGACACTCTTCCGAGAACAAAACAGAGCATGTAAATAACTCACAGGCGACATTAATCATCAATGGTGATAATCAACAACAGTGATAATCTAGCAAAGGAAATCATAGGGGGTGTAAGAGATGTACCTTCGGCTCCTTTTTATATTTTGGGAATCTAGCAAGCTTAGCCTTCCGGCACCGACGTGTTACTTCAACACCTCTTCTCTTGTTTTTGAAATCAGCAAAGAGTCACCTCTGTAACGATATCAGTTTCACATGGGTTTCTCTATCAGAAAAATACCAAGATTGAAGGCGATGAAGTGGTGGAGAAAATCTGGAATGAGGGATTGTGATTCTCATATTGCCGCGATTTACTTTTGTTACATAATAGTTATTTTCTTATATTTCTTTCTTTGCAGGTTTCACCGGTTGTTTCAAAGGATAATATGGAAATATTACACAAAATACAAGTGATACACATAAAAAGTAGGACAATTGGTTATAGATTGAGTTATAATTTGTTTGATGGTTATACAACCCAATTTCCCTAGAAAATAGATATCTCGTTCAAAAAAAAAAATTTATAAAAATAAAAAAGTTAAACCAATGAGCAAGTAATATATTTCATTTTTTCAATTTACAGATTAACAAAATGACCTAGACTAATCAGAATTGTTAATTCATCTCGTCTTTGTATTTAGCCACGACCTTTTGCCGTCTAGTTTTCATCTAATATATTTTTTTGGAGTTAAGATTATTTTTAGGGTCATTTTTTTTTTGCACTCAAAGTCACTTCCTATATGTGAAGTACTTTGTTGTGGAACACAGATAAGAGACGAAGCTAGGAATGATTTTTAGTGGGTGCTTAATTCATAAGGGAATAATAAAGGATATAGTGGGAGTTGAACTCTGGATGTTTATGGGTACACATGAGGCTTAAACCATTTTAGCAAGATGGAATCTACTGTTTTACATACAAAATATGTAGATATTCATAAAATTATAGGTGCACTTGCACCCACAACTGCCTTACTGGCTTCGCCCTTGCCAGAGATAAATTGTGAAATTTTTTGTCCTTAGTGTTTGGTTTGTAGATGTATGATACATAGACGGATGGTATGAGATGATGTCTATGTGAGCTGGTGGTGTATAAAACAATGATGTGTGGATGGGTTTTGCATGGATGGGTGAGATTGCAACATGGGAGTTTTATCCATTCGTATTGTCAACTGGCTCAACATAGTGTTCAACAACTTATTGGCTTGCAATAGAAGAGGGGACTGAAGTGTTAGTTGTACTTCATAGGAAAAGGAACCTGAGACATTGAATACTATGGTACTTTATAACTACTTTGTTATTACAACCCAATCCACATTGCACTTGTAGATCACATTATTGGATGTGAAAGACATTAATACTTTTTAACCAAAGACAAATTCAGTTTCTCATGCTTCTCTTATCCAAGTCCCCACGTGTTACAACTCCATCCTCAAGCTAAATTCTTTCGAATTAAAAAATCCTAATACTCCCAAACTCACTTTTTTCTCGTTTATCTTTGGAGGCGACGAAGCCACACAACTCTCTCCGAAAACCAACTTCTTTTTTTTTTATATTAAACTTCTTGTACGCAAACCAAATTTCCTCCACCAAAATTATAGGTATAAGTTCATAAACTGAGAAAATGTCAAAATGTTTTATATGAACTCATCCATAAGAAAATAACACAAAACAGGTTCGTCGTGAATGGATTCAATGTGTGTGAAAGCATCGTGGATGAGAGCTTTGTGGACAAATGTCATGGATTGGAGTATCGTGGATGGAAAAATAGTGGATGGTTGTGTTGTTTATGTTTTCATCATAAGTGATTTGTTTCTCCGAAACCTGATAATAGATCAATGTCTACACAAACCCTGTCTACATAGATTATGTCAACACAGACGTTGTCCACACCTCCCTCTGTGGACAATTACAATGCGCCTGTGTCTCCGCAACCGTTTTCTATTATGTATGATGGCAGTGTTCATCCACTCAACATGCAGGATAATATTCATGTGTAATATATTGAAATAATGGTTATGTAGCATCTATGTGGACAGCAGCTTAGTTTTAATAACAACAAACCTGATTAGCATTCTTTGAATTCGTGTACACGTTACCATCCACATCCACACGCTACAACCATTCGATACGTGCATATGTATAAATTTTGAAATATAACAAAAAAAAACATATCAAATGGATATCAAATTATAAAGAATAACAAAACATAATTTCTTATATTAACATTTTTTTATGTAGCATCTATGCAGACATCAGTTTAGTTGTTATACCAACAAACCTGATTAGCATTCTTTGAATTCGTGTACACATTACCATCCACATCCACACACTACAATCATTCGATACGTGTATATGTATAAATTTTGAAATATATAAAAAAGAACATATCAAATGGATATCAAATTATAAAGAATAAGATAACATAATTTTTTATATTAACATTTTTTTATGTAGCATCTATGTGGACAGCAGTTTAGTTGTTATACCAACAAACCTGATTAGCATTCTTTAAATTCGTGTACACGTTACCATCCACATCCACACGCTACAATCACTGGATACGTGTATATGTATAAACTTTTAAAGATATATCAAATGGATATCAAATTATAAAGAATAACAAAACATAATTTATTATATTAACAAATTTGTTATATATTTTTAGTTTAAAATAAATAAAAAACAAAATATTAAGAGGTAAAATCTTATTTCTGGATACACACTTTCTCTTTCCTCAACCAAAATTTCGATTTCATTTTATTAACTGTAAATCTGTCTATTATCTCCCTATGTCCCACTAGAAAGTGTCTTGCAAGTGCAATGTGGTCTTGTGTGAAATTGGAAAGTGATAAAAAGTCTCATAGTATAAAGATTCTTTTTTTTTGTCATCTACATAAACATATTCTATTAAGAATTTTCTAAACAAAATGGGACTCCGTGTCAATGTGAACAAAATAGGACGGTTAACTCTGATCACTCCCGTACATGACTTTCTGCTTTTGTGTTTTGAGTCTAGGATACGCTCAAAAATATACTGAAACTTTTTTTAGTCTCTGTATTTCTTCTAAATGATTTGCAAAGACAGATCATTCTTCTAGTTCTTAAACTATCTTTACCAATTAAAAACAATATTTCTCAAAAATCTTCATCGTTTCTAAAGTAAGGTTTGATTATCTTCCCCCTAATTAATAAGCTGAACCATAGTACTCGTTTATTCTGATTGCTTTATGGCGAACTATAAAAGTAAGGGAGTGTTAATCGAGTACGATGATGAGCCAGTTCAACTTCTAGATCAGGATGATGGGAATCTAATCAGA